AAGAGGCGTCCGTTTTATTTTATCGATGTCTATCCAATTGCTTTGTATCCAAATTGATTACGACCGTTCGAACGTCGTATACAACTAATTGCGAATCCGGTATATATTGTAATACTTTAGCGCCGAGACACTACCAGTGTGTCCAGATTGACGTTGCACTTTATAATTCATACAAAGTAGCAATGAGTATCTAGCGATGCTTTCGCAAATACCTTTCTCGCAAGCATCACGTCTGCAAAACATTATTAAATATTAAATTTATGAAAGTTATAAATGGGTGATAAGGAACATAATGTCAATAATTTAGCTCTGTTCCAATCGACACGGATCTTGCGATGGGAATAACCGATTTTCACAGTATAATTATTAGAACGATATCAACTGGAATATTGATCAACTGTATGTATGACACACACACACACACGCGCGCGCGCGCGCGTATAATACGTTCTTCGTAATACTTTTAGCTATAATGCTAGATAACCATAGCAGGCTGTTGTTATTTTTGGTTACCTTCAAGCCTGCAACAGGGTCTGTAAGACCCTGCAACTTTGTCGCACTGTATACCTGGACTGAATACGTATTTTTTAGCTCAAAACGTGAACTTTATACCTGAAAGTCAGACAGATAAATATGAAACAAATAAATAATATTTCATTATCCATTAATTACAATGCTTCAAAGAAATTTTATTGGAAAAATTCTCAAAAAATAACCACTGGATAAAAAATTTTCAAATTTTTTATTTTAAAGTTCAAGCAAAAACTCGTAGGATTTTTTTAATTGACTAAAAAGAGAAAAGTCTAACAAAAGCAAGTAATACAATATGAATTGCTAAAAAAAGTATAAATACTTAAACTGTCGATGATCGACACATTTGAAAAATCTATTTATTATATGTTTACAATTAATAAATAAAATTTTATTATTTGAACAATAAAAAATGGTAGATAAAGGATTGCACATGTGTAAATAATATTATAGTATACATATATGAGTCCTTTGGAAGGTTGATGGGATGGAATTAGATTGGAAAATTGAGGATTCAGGTTGGTGGGATTTTTCTGCTCTAAGTAGAAAATTTGTTTCCCGACTTATTACTGAGGAACTAATTCTAAAATTGCTCCACCCGCACTACAAGTTTTAATCTCTTGAATACTTATTAATGTTACGTCATCACCTTCTCTAAGGGTTCTGGATTTACAGTCATCTATTGGCGGGTTTAGTTTAACCTTATCCATTTTTAAAGAAAGGGAATTTTACTCATCTTCCGAATGATTTGGTTATGATTTACCAGAATTTTCATATTTCCTTTTTTTCAATCGACGATTTCTCTTTTATTACTTGAACGTGTGTTCTCTCGTCTGGACACTAAGCAGTATTTGCTTAAATTTTATGATCGACGATCTAGAAAAGAAATAAAACTTAAGAGCTACGATTTGTCGTCCTGCATTTATTTTACTAATTTCCTACTGCTGACGAGAAAACGCCCTTCAATTTGCTTTACGAGTTTGAAAATACTCGATTTTATCTACACAGGATCCCATCAGTGGAATTCTGTAACTCGTTATGCGATTGTTATGTGCTCATAACGACAGTCGCGCAGATATTTTATATGATAAAAAAGCTGCGCAACTGTCGTTATGAACATATAACGACTGCATAACGAGTTATAGAATACAGAGGCTGGGCCCTTATTATGTAAGTGTCTAACACACCTATCGACAGTTGTCGGTGTCGTTGCGCAGCTTTTTCATCATACAAAATATCTGCGCAACGACACTGACAACTATCGAAGGCCTGTAAAACAGATACAGAATAGGGATCCTGATTCGCATTTATATTTGTATTTGCTAAAACCGATCGTATTTAAACAGGATTTTCTCTACGTGGTTTCTAGTCTTGTCATAAATTTTGAGATGGTGGTTTTTTCGATTTTTACAAATCGACTACCTACATCACTTTTGCCTACAGTTCGATTGCCTACATGTATTATTGCCTACAGCTCGGTTGCTTACAAGCACTTTTGCGCATAAATAAAAATTTTAGAAACGGAATTACATCTTTAAAAAACATTTATAAAGTTATATATTTAAAAAGAAGGAAATCATAGAAAGAACCAGGTGCAGTATTTCAAAGAAAAGAAACAATATACGAATGACTTATCGTGAATACTCCAAGAATAAAGTTATATTATAATAAAAAAATAGTATTATTTGTAATTTGCATTATAAACGTATATTTAATTTGTGAGATATGACACAGAAAAAATTTTATCTTAAGAAATTAAATATACTGCAAAAATTATATCATATAATCTTTTATCGACAAAGACATTTATTGGCGCAGAATCTCACGTGATCTTATCACCACATGCTATACATGGAGAATTAGCCCATACGTGTGAACTGTGAATACAATAAAAAAAAGACGTCGTGATCGCGTGATTTAGACAGCCAATCAGATCGTTAATATTTTATCTCTGTTTTCTAGAACTATAGTTACAACTAAACGTTTATGTAATTAGAAATAAAGTAACGATAAAAGTAACTAGTGAAATCGTCACCGTTACCGTACACCGCTACATTTCGCCAGGCCGCCGATAGATTTTGAATCGCATGATGACTACTCAGGAACCTTAAAAGATACATAGCAGATTTCTGTTACTTCTTAAAATTTTAGACTAGCCAAGATATTGCGCTTTGAATTTCAAAATCAATTTTCTATTATCATGACTTTTTTAATCTTTGGACATGAGCAATTGTGGTAATATTAAAAATATTCTAATTATAATAAAATTAATTTCTTTATCGCAAGATTGCTATTCTTGTATGCTATTCTTAAAAAAATTTATTTTTCAATGTAGATTATAGCAAAAAATAACTTATTAAATTATCCATTTTTTATATTAAACTTACAAAATATTACAGAGGTAAATAATTTTGAAATTTTTCGATTCAATATTCGCATTAATAAGTAACATGTACGAATCCAGAATGAGTTAAATAGAAAAAATCTTGTCTGGAAAGATCTGCGATAGATATGTCGATGATTAAGTATTTCATTCGTAAAAATTTGACTCCACAATTCGGTTAATTATAAAAATGTAATCATTTATCGCGTAAATATTCATATGGAATTTTTAGAAAACTGAACAATTAGGAAAATATTTGTGATATATATTTTTATATAGCCATTTTTTTGCTAACAGGTAGTTTGAGAAAATATACCATATTTTAATGCCATGGAATAAAAGAGATTACGTTTTACAGTACATGTACTTAACTCATAAGAAGGCTCAACGGAAAACCTACAATTTGAACCAAAGATAGGAAATAAGGCGTTACTTGTAATGCCGTTACTGTTACCTTTACTCCTATGATAATAATTTTACAATTTAATAATAATTTTTCAATATTTCACGATGGTATTGATAACGTCATAGTTGGACAAGTTATAATTTATGAAAAGTAACTAATTACTAATCAGTTACGAGACAACTTATTGTAATGCGTTACTTTTATGTAACGTGTAAAGTAATGAGTTAATTTTTTAATCAGTAACTCGTAATGATAATAAGTTACTCTTCAAAAGTGACTTTCTTTAGCGTTATCGTTACTGTCAAAAAATTGTAAAGTAAATACAAAATTGTAGCTATAAAAAATAACGGTATTACAAGGTCTACAATAAAAGTCGTAGACGATCTTGGAGCTTTAAGTCGTAGGAAACTGATCAATCAGAGTCAAATTTGAGTAGAATAATCGACTATGATTGGTTAATTTTCTATGTCTTCAGACCCCATAACTGTCTACGATTCCTACAGTAGAACCGGCCGCATTACGTGTTATTTCCCATCCTTAGTTAAAACATCATGAAACATTTAAATCGCATTAGAAAATATCGTTGTGCGTACTTTTAAGTATATTTTTACGTAAAGAATACGTAAACCTGCGTATATGAATCATTTAAAATCATACATAAAATATATTTATTAAGCGGAGGTTACACAATATTAACTCCGTATGAAATAATATTTGGAGCTCAGAGTATTGTATCGTAATGAGATAAATATACGAAAGAGAAGGGAAGGTATGCCGCTATCTTAGGTGCAAAAATAAACGAGCAAATAATAAAATTCGGGAGTATATCGTATAGTACAAGAGTAATCTAATAAAACGTATATGGTATGTGTGCTAATGCGTTCAACGGTCATCTTCAATTAATTAGGAGTTAATTAGGAGTTAATTAGGAGAAATATACTCTCTCCCAGTAATCTTCGAAGATTACGGTTTCACGCAGCGAAATTCACGAAGGTTGATAAGTTATACTCGCCGATGTAGTATTAAATGGTTGTGATTAGATAGAAAAGACTGCGTCTCGGAAATTAGTTTTCTAGTTGACAAAGAAAGTAGCTAATGCCAGTCATTATATTCTTTAATCAAGCTGTGTTACTTTTAATAAATAATGTGCAATTAAAACTGAAAGATTTACTGTTTCCCATTACAAAATACATACATCGCAAAATATGTGCCTATACAGGGTGTTCCAGAATAATCGCCAAATATTTCGTGTGCTGGTATAGAGAAATTGCAAATTGAGTCGAAAAGTTTTCTATCATTTTGCAATTTGCGCAATAATTAATAAGATATTAATTACTAAAAATCGCCGAATATTGGTTTTCAATAATTTTTCACCTAAGTAAAATTAACATTACTAATTGATTTATTCTATCGTCTTATTCAATGTAAAATTGTTAAATAACTTATTTACCAATATTAATTTTGATGCAATATATATATTTCCATTTTTTGTTTCCTAATTTTACAAATGAGAACTGATTGCATGTTTAGAAAGTTACAATACCAAGTTTCAGAACTGCAATTCTGCGCGTTTATTAATTGCATTTAATTAGATTTTAGATCCCAATTTAAGAGACTACAATATTTCTGATTACGTTGTCTTTTATCTCTAATTTATTATTCCGCTTCTTATTTTTAATCTCACCCTGTATTGTTACATTGTTGTCTGATCGATGAAGGCGAGCTTACCATTTGAAATTGCACAAATATTACCAAATATGTCACCACTGTGCCAATTAGCTGAGAGAAATAATCAAAGCTATTAATTAAAAAAATTTAATTTTTAAATTACTTACATGATATTTTTAATATTCTCACCGAATGAAGAAAAGTATTATCGAGCGTGAAGTATCCGTTAGCTGTAAACTGTATTTCGCGATGCAGCAGTTGAAGCGAAAATTTCTTCAGCTGTAACATATTTATAATAAATGTCGTTACGATGAACACCGTTTCTGAGAAAATATTATTTAACTTTGTTTTTTACCTCTGCTTTGGTTTCTTTTCCGATTGCACAGTTTAAAAGATTATGCACTATATTGCCCGTTTTTTTCATCTGTAGGATAAATTTATATTTCGTAAAATATTCGGGTTTTTATTTAGTGATAAAAATATGTTTTTATCGATTAAAACGGTCTGATTAAAATGCGATCTTATTATATTGATTATCCTACCTCGATTAAAATCCTAGTAATTCTGTTGGAGAGGAGAAAGATGGGATAAATCACAAATATTATCCAGACGATGCTACTACTAAGAGTCTCATATTCTAAGATATCATCAGTAATCAACAGAATCCAGAAAAGAAAGTAACCATTATATATGAGTGTCAGAAAGAGAAAAACGACGCCGAATAATACTGGTAGTGAATAGAAACTCGACACATCTTCAGAGATTTCACAGAGATGACAATGCACATCTCGCAGTTGCAACATTTGATAAACGATCGAATTGTTCATTATGATACGACGAGTTTGATAGAGAGACTGCAGTCGAAGATCAGGTGCATTGATCCTAGTAAGACTTTGTATCGCTCGATTCACATCAGCGAAATTTGTCTGAATGACCGTCACAAACAGGAAGTACTGTATCAGTAACCAACCCACGTGAAATGTCGGCAGAACGTCTGTCAGCCATGAGACTGGGTTCGAACCCAAAGCCAGATTATCAGTGAATAGGAGAAGCATCAGTAGGCAAATCTTCAGGATGCAAACGATGATAATAGTGCAGAAGATACGCTGTCGTCGTAGCGGATGATATAGATCATACAGACGATCCATCTCGTGCTCGATGGTGATTAATCGATTGGTGATCCGCAACAAGGACTTCTGTTTGACGCAGTAGCTAATCAAAATCGCGCAAATCATCAGGGCACCAAGTACATTTTGAAGGACCGCGATGCCTACAGTCAAATTCGACTTGATCTTGTACTCCCAATTAAGTCTCAATGGTATAGTCATGTAGTTCGAAGCTATCATTAAGCTACTCAGCACAACATTGTAAACGAATCCTAATTTGGAATACTGAAATGTGTATGACGTTCTCTTTTTGTATACGACGATTTGATGGGCGAATGTAGTGAGACCGATAAGCTTGAAGAATATCATCAATATCCTGAACATCCAAAATAAATTTTGACGTAGCTCTGATTTTATTTTGTTCATTTTCTGTTCATTATTTCTATCTGCAATAGAATTTTCTTTATTTATATTTCTAATGGAATTGGAGATTTTGTTGACGTTCATAAAAGTTGAATTCTTAATCGAAGACACTTTGCAATGACTATCTTCTTCCTTAATTTTTTAAATCTAAGTTAATATCTACTTTCTTTCTTCATTATGTCTTCTCAATTTATACATATTGCCTTGTATTTCATGATTTATAAATATTTTCTTTAGGAAACTTTCAGTTCAATCTTCTTAATATTTTTTTTTCAGGATATTGTACATAATGATTTTTTTTAAATTTATATTCTTTAAGTCTTCTTTACTATATAATGTTTCACGCATACATCATTCATAAATTGATAATTTAAGAGACGTTTTATTTTAACGATATCTGTCCAATTCTTTTGAATCAAAATTAATTTGTGTATTCTAACTGACGTTGTGCTTTATTATTCTTACGATGTAACACTGAGCATGTAGCGATGCTCCCGCAAGTACCTTTCACGCAAACATCACGTCTGCAAAACATTATTAAATATTAAATTTGTGAAAGTTATAAACGCGTGATAGGGAACATAAAGTCTATAATTTAGCTCTGTTTCAGTCGACTAGGATCCTGCGATGGAAATAGCCGATTGTTACGATATTATTGTTCGAATGATATTCACTGAAATATTTATCATCTGTATATATGACATGATATATATATACACAATAATACGTTCTTCATAATTTTTTCAACTGTAATGCTAGTTAATTATAACGCGAATTTAATGATTCAAAATAATAGTCCGGCATTGTAGTATAGTCATCAATATTATATGATCACCAATGTCAACATTATTATCATCATTTTGAGTTCTTATGGATTATTTAATTTAACTTCTGCCGCTTTAGCAAATTTCTTTTAAAATAATGAGAGCATACATTTTATGCACGGTTCGCAATTACTTACATGAAATAATTACTTTACGTCAAAAAAATCTTTATATTACTTCAAGTTTATTCATCCAAAGTCGTATCTGTATAAACATATAGACTTAAAAATCTTTCAAATATAATTAATAATGTTAATCTATGTAAGCTTTTGATAATATTAAACATCCCTAAGCGTTCGTAAAAATTAAATTTTGAATCAGGCGAATATTCTTGCGATAATTGTCAATTTAAAGTTGATTGATTAGTTTTTCTCTATTACATTTTATATACTTCTTTTCACTTATTTTCGTGATTTATGTAGAAACATTTTTTTCTGAAAATTTATATTTTAATTATACAATATAATATTTAATTGTAAAATATAATAATTTTACAACTATTCTTTTAGACTATCCATCAAAATTACAGTAGCAAAATATATTTAAGTTTAGATTTTATATATACAGGATGTTTAATAAGTAACTATAAAACTCTAGCATAGGGATAGAGTGGACTAAATTGAGTTATAAAATCTTGTATCATTTTACAATTTTCATTATAGTTAACAAGATGTTAATAACTAAATCTGAAGTTATATCTTTAAAAAACTTTATGAAATTGTATATTTAAAAAGAATGAAAGGATAGAAAAAATTATTTAACCAGATGCAGTATTTCGAAGAAAAGAAACCAATTCTGAATGACTCATCGTTAATACTCTAAAGGTAAAATTATATTTGTAATAATTATATTATAAAAAAAATAGTATTGTTTGTAATTTGCATTATAAACATATATTTAATTTGTGAGATATGACACAGAAAAATTTTTATTTTAAGAAATTAAATATACTGTGAAGATTATATCATTTAATATTTTTTCCACAAAGATATTTATTAGCGTAGAATCTCACGTGATCTCATCGTCATATGTTATACATAGAGAGTTAATCTATATGTGTGAACTGTGATTACAAAAAAAAGCCGTCGTGATCGCGTGATTTAGACAGCCAATCAAATCGTTAATATTTCATCTCTGTTTTCTAGAGCTATAATTACAACTAAACTTTTACGTAGTTAGAAATAAAGTGACGATAAAAGTAACTAGTGAAATTGTTACCGTTACCCCAAAAATGTAATTGCGTTACCATGAATGTTACTCACAAGGGAAGTTTCACAACTGTCCGGAAACGATTTGATTCTCCATGAAATATGTTGTAAAACACGTAGATCTAAGGGACACGTTTTTTATACGTGCGCTAACTCATGTTTAAGGAGTAAAAAACTCCTTTAAAAAAAAAACGGTATTTTTATTCGAGGCGAATATCGTCAGAAGTTTAAAAAAAAGAAAAATATTTGTTAAACAAATTTGTACGATTTTATACAATCATTAATGTGATGATTGAATAAAACGTTAAGACGACTGAAAATAGAAATCGTTAAATTGCAATGAAATCGTTCCTCAGTCAATTAAGTTGAAGAACTTGAACATAATTTAAAATTGACGTTATTATTTTCAAAAAAACCATGATTATACATTTGTAGAATTTAGCGCTTTTTAATATAGATTTTAATATTACCTTCAATAATAAACTGATATTTCTTATAAAATATAAAAGCATAGTTAAAAAAGTCTTAAAGAAAAGTACAATAAATGGGCTCCTCAAAATTAATAAAAATATTAAACAAAATGTATATAAATACGTCGGCATTCGGAGTCGCCGCTAGATATTTATTGTTGAATATTAGCTGATATCTATAATATCTACAATTAAAATTTTTTTGGACGTTTTGACTAACAATAAGTTATTCTTCAAAGGTAACTTTCTTTAGCGTTATCGTTACTGTCATGGAAAAGAAGTTGTAAGGTATAAATACAAAATTGTTGTTATAAAAAAAAACAGTAATGCGAGATCTACAATAAGAGTCGTAGACTATCTTGCAGTCTTAAGTCGTAGGAAATTGATCAATTAGAGTCAAATATGAGTAGAATAATCGACGATGATTGATCAATTTTCTATAACTCCATACCCCACAATCGTCTACGATTTCTATAATAGAACCAGCCGCATTACGTGTTACTTTCCAACCTTCGTTAAAACAATATGAAACATTTAAATCGCATTGGAAAATATTGTTGTGCTTTTAAGTATATTTATACGTAAAGAATGCTTAAACCTGCGTATACGAATAAACATTTAAAATCATACATAAAATATATTTATTAAGCGGAGGTTACACAATATTAACTCCGTATGAAGTAATATTTAGAGCCCAGAGTATTGTATCGTAATGAGATAAATACGAAAGAGAAGGAAAGGCATACTGCTATCTTAGGTGCGAAAATAAACGTGCAAATAATAAAATTCGGGAATATAATGTATAGAATAAGAGCAATCTAATAAAATGTGTATAATATGTATGCTAATACGTTTTAACGGTTATTTTCAATGAGTTAATTAAGAGAAATATACCCTTTCCCAGTGATATTCGAAGATTACGGTTTCATGAGTATCGCAATGAAATTCGCAAAGGTGGATGGACTATACTAGCCGATATAGTATTAAATGGTTGTGATTAGGTAGAAAAGACTGCGTCTCGGAAATTAGTTTCCGAGTTGACAAGGGAAGTAGCTTATACCTGTCATTATTTCTTTAATCATGCTGTGTTACTTTAAATAAATAATGTTCTATTAAAACTGAAAGATTTATTGCTTCCCATTACAAAATACATACATCGCAAAATGTGTGCCTATACAGGGTGTCCCAGAACAATCACCAAATATTTCATGTGCTAGTATAGAGAGGATCAAATTGAGTCGAAAAGTCCTCCACCATTTTACAGTTTTCACAATAGTTAGAAAGACATTAATTACTAAAAATCGCCGAATATTGGTTATCAATAATTTTTTCAGTAAAATTAGTATTATTAATTGATATATTCTATCGAGATCTATTCATTTCAATTGTTAAATAAATTAATTAACAATATTAATTTAGATACAACATATATATTTATATTTTTTATTTTCTAATTTTACAAATCAGAACTGATTGTATGTATAGTATTAGAAAGTTACAACACAAATAAAAGGTTTCAGAATTGCAGTTCTGCGTGTTTATTAATTGCATTTAACTGGATTTTAGATCCCAATTAAAGAGGCTACGATATTTCTGGTAAGATCTTCTCTTATCTTTCATTTATTCAGCTTCTTATTTTAAATCTCACTCTGTATTGTTACATTGCTGTCTGATCGATGAATGCGAGCTTACATTTTGAAATTGCACAAATATTACCAAATATGTCACCACTGTGCCAATTAGCTGAGAGAAATAATCAAAGCTATTAATTAAATAAATTTAATTTATTCAATTACTTACATGATATTTTAAATATTCTCACCGAATGAAGAAAAGTATTATCGAGCGTAAAGTATCCGTTAGCTGTAAACTGTATTTTGCGATGCAGCAGATGAAGCGAAAATTTTTTGAGCTGTAAAATATTTATGATAAAATGTCGTTACGGTGAACACAGTTTCTGAGAAAATTTTATCCAACTTTGTTTTTTACCTCTGCTTTTGTCTCTTTCCCGATTGCACAGTTTAGAAGATCATGCACTATATTGCCCGTTTTCTTCATCTGTAGAATAAATTTATAATTTAAATATTTCGTAAAATATTTGGGTTTTTATTTATTAATAAAAATATTTTGCTTCATCAGTTAAAACAGTCTGATTAAAATGCGACCTTATTATATTGATTATCCTACACAGAGAAAATTTTATATTTAGAATTATTATAATATGGTAGTAGCTGCGGTCTTCATGTAAATTATAAGTTTAAATGCTATAGCTATTTTTTTAAAAACAATAATATAACGTAATTTTTACACTTTTTCATAGTAAAAATTTTTTATTACAAAATCAAATATACCTAGGAAATTTTGTTTGCGTACCATAGTAAAAATTAACTGTTTTCATGTTAGAATATGGCTTAACAAAATAATTACTTTATTTATATGATAAAAATTAGTATTACCATAGTAAAAGTTAAGTCAGAATCATGTTGTGAGAATCCATCGAG